TGGGGCTGACGAGGCCTGGCTCCAGTGTCCTGCACAGGCTGGCCCCTCCCACCCTCTGGACTGGACGCCTGCTCATCTGTTGAGGGGCAACTCTTTTCTGGCTAAAGGGGAATCAGGGAAAGATGTTTTGGGGAGTACAGCTTTTAGGTCAGTGCTGGGTTGGTGGTATTTTTTTCTCAACATTTCTATTGCTGCACGAGGCAGACAGGCCTTGGGGCTAGGGGGTCAGAGAAGTCAGACACAGAAGTGGTGGGGAACTCCATGAGAAAAGGAATCAGGATGATGGAGGGGTGGCCGGGGTGGCAGGACAGGCACTGGGAGAAGAGGGATGGGTGGGGAGAGAGGGGAGCCGGGGGGGGGGGGAGATAAAGAAGTCAGCAGGTGCCAGAGGAAGACTATGGTGTGTGCATGTAAGAGGCCCTGCCTTTGAAACTGGCCTAGAGGTGGTTGAAGTGGAAAGGACTCAGGTGAACTGGCAGAGGAGGGGGCTCGAGGACCAGGGGGCAGCTGGGAGGAAAGGTGGGGCGGTGCAGTGGTTAAGGCTGCTGTGTGGGGGAGGTGTGGTGGAAACTGGGGTGTGTGTTGGGGTGGGGAGGGAGAGTTTGGGGATCCTGCAGAATGAACATGGTGGCTGGTGGGGCAGGAACCTGCTGGGCTTGGTGAGGCAGTCCTTCTCATTCAACAAATATTTATTGAGGGCCTACTGAGCGCCAGGCCATCCCGGCAGCACTCTCTGGGAGTGACAGTTCTTCTGCATCATGGGGCTGAGGATTCAGCACATCCACGGGGGGCGGGGGATCTGGCAGATCTGGCAGGCAGCGGCTGATGGCTCAAGTACTTGGGTTTCTGTCACGTGGGGAAAGCCCGCTGGGGCCCGGCCCACCCTTGGTGTCACTGGTTCTGAGGTAGTGAAACAGGGCGGAGATTGCTTTCAACGAGAAGCGACCAATCCAGCTGAAAGAAGCTAAGCGCACCCATGGCAGGATGCATTTGCCAACACACTGTGGCCCACAAACAGCTACAATTACCGTGCCAGCTAAAGATGTACCAAATACTTCTTGAGGATGTGGGCGATCTGGCTGTGACACATCTCTGGTCTCTGTTTTTGTATTTGTTTTCACTCTCAGAGCTTGTTTGGAGGTTCTAGCCAGGTAGCACAGCACCTAGACAGAAAACCAGTCCTCTAGCGGGGAAGGTCGTCCTCTTTGACCAGTGCACAGCTTTGGCAGGGGCACCCACGGAGCGGCGGCTGAGGCCAGGGGAAGGCCAGCAGAGGCAGGGCCTGGTGGCGACAGGACCCGCGGGCTTCTGCTTTGCCGTCTGCAGATCATGGAGGGGTGCAGAGCTGTCGCCTGGAGCCGACCTCAGGGCACCCTCAGTCCCCCTCTCTTTCATCCGCAGGGGCTCCTGACATTCTTTGAAGCCCTCCCTGCCAGGTCCGGCAGGCTCCCTCAGACCCTCAGGGGCAGGAGGGGGCCTAAGTCCCTAACAAAGCCCCCATTCAGGACTTGGAGTTGCATTTGCATCTTAAAGGAAACTTTCCCCTCAGCCCTACACGCCGAGTCTCCTTTGTCTGCCCTGCAAGCTGAAAGACAGGAAATGGGGCCCTCCTGCCATTTCCATCCTCTCCAGGGCCAGCCCCAGCTGGAGTCAAACCTTCTGTTGAAGGCACCTTAGCCCTCCCCAGGGACAGCCTTCCTCCCCAGAAGTGGGGGCTGGCATCAGGACCAGGGGCCTCCATCTCTCCTCCCCTCAGCCCTCAACCACCTGCTCCCAGGCCCTCAGAAACCCTCCTAGCCCTCCACTGGCGTCCTGTGCACACACCGCTTTTACAGATGGCAACACTGATGTCAGCCACTTTGTCTGGTTTACCCGATTTTTCTTTTCAAACTTTTCTAACGGAAGGCCAATGTGACTCCAGACCATTTCTTCTTGGAGTCACTCAAACCCCACACATGTCCAGCCCTTGCACAAACTGGGAAACTGAGGCCGGGCACCCCCGACTCCACACACAAGGAGCCTTATGCAAACAGGAGAGTAATGACTCAGGCCACAGGGCAGCAGGTACGGCCCTTGGTGGCTGAGAACTCCTGGCAGGCATGGCCAGTCCCAGCTGTGCTGGGAGCAAGCACAGCAGGACCCTGAATAGGAGAAAAGTACCGGCATGGAAATCCAGGGACGGTGGCATGCCCGACAGGATCCCGGGCCCCTGGAAGCACATGCCAAGGCCCCATGGCGGGTGCCCGCTGGGAGTCCTGGCTGGCTTTGTGAGAAGCCACTGGAGGCCTCTTAGCTGTGCACGGGAGGAGGGGATACTTGTTAACACCATGGAGAGGAGTGTGGGGGGAATTAGGTGGACAGGAAGCCAGGAGGATGTAGCAGGAAAGCAGAGAGGGGGACCCGGTGAGTTTGGGAGGTGCCGGCTCGGGGCACAGCGCAGAAGCCCACCCCGGCCAAAGCAGCCCCTGGGGTGGGCGGCGGTGGCCTATGCATGTTATTTGGAGCCGGGGGACTGGACAGGCTCGCCCCGGGGTCCCCAGTCTCTGCCGGACCCTCGGTTTTTGAACTTATACCTTTGTGGACTGGAGCCATCCCTAGTGGTCTGCTGGTGGAAGGGCACGTTTGAGGGACAGACCTCCCATCCCATCGTGGCTAAACCACCAAGTCCCTCCCGCAGGCGTCAGTGGAAGCCGCCTATGCTGAGGGCTCAGAGTTCTATTCCACAAGCTGGAAGACTGTTCCACCAGGCTTCCCACAAGACTGTTCCACCAGGCTTCCCACAAGACTGTTCCACCAGGCTTCCCACAAGACTGTTCCACCAGGCTTCCCGCTGGGCTAGGGGGACGCACAGCCGCCTGTCCGCTTCCTCTGACTTCTCTCCTCGTGGCCAGGCCCAACCTGGAGCAGGAGCCAGGGGTGCCTGCGGGGTGAGCTGCTCCATGGCCTCGCCAAAAGGGGCACACTCACACACATTCCCTCTGGCATTGCCCTGGACAAACCTTCAGGGAATCTGCATTTCTAACTGCATTAGCTCACTTGGACTTGGGGTTTCACAATTTAATTGTTCTTGCAATTCTCTATTTTTTTTGTCTCATTCAGGTCTTAGAAAAACGGCTTGCCACGGGGTGGAGGTGAGGCGTGGGGAGCTGCAGCCTGGCTGGGGCCAGCGCGGGACTGGCCCTTCTTTCTTGAAGGGCCTCCTCCTCTTCTTCCAGCCCACCTGGCTCCGCTCCCCGGCCTCTAACCCTTCACCTCTAACCTGTCTCCCACAGGCACCCATCCTCGTTTTCTACAAGTGTCCCACAACCCCAGGGGACATCCATGACCCTGCACTACTGGGAGTCAAATTTCCAGGGCTCTGGCTGGGTCCTTGTCAGGATGGGAAGCAGCCACCCTACACCTTGGGGCAGCAGCTAGGCTGGGGTGTCCTCCTGGGTGGTCCATCCTTTCCAAGCTGTGCCAGCCCGGGGGCAGGGAATGCCCTTCCTGCACAGTCCCCTCAATGTTGTCTTCCTTTGCTGGGACCTGGGTACCCTGCTCTAGATGTGCCCATTGCCCTGGGGCTCCCAGATTCTGCCCCCCCCCCCCGGGATCTGTCCAGCTCCACTCTGCCACCTGCCTGGTACCCTCAGCTTTTGGGACTTCCTCACCAGTGTGTGTGGAATGGGATGTGTCTACCAAGGGGGGGGGGGGCCAGGAAAGAGGGGAGGGAACCAGCCTCGCGGGCTCTGATTTCCCCCTCCCCTATGGATCGCTGGGCCTCCAGCTTTTCTCATCTGCAAATTCCCTCTTTCCTTTATCCCGGACTTCAAGGCGCTGCCGCCCTCACCCCTGACCTACCTCCTCGCCCTGCTCTCAGCTGCGTCCCCAGCACGGACAGCACCCTCTGCCTGGGACCCAGACTCCTTTGCTAAATTCCCCTGACAACAATGGGAGGGGTATAACCGACAAGGAGGATCAGCTTCCCAGCCGGGCACTCCCGCGGGGGTCTCCACGTTACCACTGTCAACCTGCCACCCCACCAGCCTTCCCTGGGTCTTGGGGAGGTCCCGGCCTACTTGCGTGTCAGAAAACGGGGCTCTGCATGCGCCAGAAGAGGCTGGACCACGGCCCGAGAGTAGCCCCAGCGGTCCTCCCGTTGCAACCCAGTTTTGTACCCAGGTCCCTAGGCACAAAAAGGGACTGGGCCTGTGGCGGGAGGACGCCCTCACTCCTACCCCGTCCGACTGGGGCGGAGACCCCCTTTAGGAGGTCTTCGTGCGCTTCCCGCTCCCTCGCCGACCGCGGGAGGGCGTGCGCTGTGTTAGTTGGGACAAGTTAAAACGCGTCCAGCGGCCAGGCCCTGACCCTCTCGGGCCCGGTCCAGGCCTGGGAGCCCGCAGCACACTGCTGGCTACCTTCTACAAGGCTCGGAACCGTGGGGCCTCCTTCGGGGCCTGGGCTATTCGCCCCTAAAAGGAGTGCCCCCATCCTCTGGTGCCCTCGCCGCCTAGGGTGCACCTCTCCGTAGCCGTCTGCCGGGCCCGTCCTGTGCGCGGGGCGCCTCTGCGCGGGGCCACGGGCTCGGGCCCTGTCCGGGGCGCACGGCCGAGGGCGTCGCGGGGCCGGGGAGGCGCCGTCCGGGATGCCAGTGGCCGGGAAAGGGGCTCGAAGAAGCACAAGTCGGCGCTGGCTCCGGACCAGGCTGTTGTTGTTCTCAACGTGGTCCGCCATGGCGCTATAAAAGCGTGTGCGAGCGCCCTCGTCGCCAGAACGCAGCGCGCGCGCCCGGCGAGCTCTTCCGGCGGCGAGTCCCGTGGTTCGGCGCCTTCGGACCCCGACTCGCCGAGCTGCTCCGGCCCCGGGCCGGCCGCGACCCCCGCCCAGGCCCGCCCCCCGCGCTCCGCCCCGCGCCCCGCGCCCCGCGCCCCTCGCCCCGCGCCCCGCGCCGCGCCCAGCCCAGCCCTGCCGCCCGGCCCCAGGCCCGGCCGCGGCCGCTCCCGCCTGGAGCCGCCGCGCGCCCCCAGCCCCCCGGCGCCGCCGCGGCCCCTCGCCTTCCTGTTCCCGGCGCGGCCCCCCGGCTTCCGCGCCCCGCCCGCCACCAACCCGCTCGCCACTATGTCGGTGGAGCTGGAGGAGGCCCTGCCGCCCACGACGGCCGAGGGGGCGGCCAAGAAGGCGGCCAAGGCCGGCGGCTCGGCGGGGCTGTCGCCGTCCAAGAAGAGGAAGAACAAGAAGAAGAAGAACCAGCCTGGCAAGTACAGCCAGCTGGTGGTGGAGACGATCCGCAGGCTGGGCGAGCGCAACGGCTCGTCGCTGGCCAGGATCTACACGGAGGCCAAGAAGGTGCCGTGGTTCGACCAGCAGAACGGGCGCACCTACCTCAAGTACTCGATCAAGGCGCTGGTGCAGAACGACACGCTGCTGCAGGTGAAGGGCACCGGCGCCAACGGCTCGTTCAAGCTGAACCGCAAGAAGCTGGAGGGCGGCGAGCGGCGCGGGGCCCCCTCGGGAGCCGCCCCGCCGCCCGCGGCCGCGCCCAAGGCCAGGAAGGCGGCCCCGGGCACGGCCCCGCGGCGCGCGGACAAGAAGGCCGCGCCGGGCCCCAAGGCGGAGAAGCGCTCGCACAAGAAGGGCGCCGCCTCCAAGAAGGACAAGAGCGCCAAGGCCAAGAAGGCGGCGGCGGCGGCGGCCGGGGGCAAGAAGGTCAAGAAGGCCGCCAAGCCCAGCGTCCCCAAAGTGCCCAAAGGCCGCAAGTGAGCGCCGGCCGCGCCCCACCCCTGGTCCCGCACCCCGACTGTTCGGTTTTTGTACGGTGCCATCCCCCGCCAACCCCGTCCTCCCCTCCCCCGCAGCGGTGTAGCGTCGGGTGGGTTTTTTTTTGTTGTTTGCTTTAGGTTTTTGAAACAGCCCTGGCGACGCCCCTATTGGCTCTCGCCCTCGGCCACGGCCGTCGCCATGGTGACCGGCCCCGGGCGCCAACGGGCCGCCGCCCGCACGCTGCCGCGGTGGAGGCCGCCAGGGGCCGGGGTGGGCCGGGGTGGGCCGGGGGCGCGGTGCGGGGGGCTGCGCGGCGCCTCTCGGATCCCGGGGACCCTGGCGCGGGGGCACAATAAATTGTTGAAACCACCTCACCACGCTCGTTTTCTCGGAAGGGACGCGGGGCGGGGGGAGTTGGGGTGGGGTTGGTAGAGCACAAGGCACAGGCCTGCGGCGGAGACCGTGCTGTGGTGGGCGGAGAGCCCACGGGTGGACGCTGGCGGCTGTGCCAGCGTCGTCCACCTTCTGGTTATTCTGGAGTGGATAGGAGAAGACGCCAAGCTTTGCGGGGCATGAATAGGTCCATTTCAGGACCTGGTGGTCTTTATTTTCTAACTGCCCTGACCAAGGGGCAGCCTGCAAAGCCCCGGGGACTGCGGGGGTCAGCGGGAGCCCACGTCAGGCTTGCAGGTTGGGGGGAGACACTGGCCTGCTGGTCCCCGAAAACGGCTCTGGACCACACTGGCAAGTGGTCATTGCACTCTAAAAGTCAGACCCCGGCTGGGGGCCTCTTCCTGTTTGATAATAACCAATGGAAGTAGTCGTTTGCCCACTGCTATGTTGCGTGTTAGGCAGCCAGCTCCCTGCAGTGGACAAGAGCAGCCAATAGGGGACAAGAGGGCGCAGGTGCACTGGACATTCTGTTTTGGATTCAGGGGCCTGTAGCCCCTGCTTGCCCTCCTGGTCAGCATCAGCCACATTTACTTGTAGTTCTGCCTGGGCAGCCCGGACACGTGCCTGGCATCCTACAGTGCCACTGCACGGCCAGTCCATGTTCTTTGAGGCGGGAGATGGGCCATACCCATACATGACGCTGTGCAAATGGTGCTGTTGTTCAGCTGGATGTGTCGCGTCAGATTACAACTCAACAGCCTTAAACCAGAAGCCCCAGGGCGCCTGGCTCCATGCCAGCTGTCTGAGTTCTGGGCTGGGGCCTGGGGAGTGGGCTTTGCGATCTGAGAGAATTGGGAAGGCTCCCCTGCAGCTGCCACGTCCCTGGCCACCTGCTGTCCATGGCTTCCTGCCAGTGTCCACAAAACAGGCCACTGAGCCTCATGCCTGCCTCTCTGGGTGCTGCCAGCACCTCCTGCCCTGACCTAAGCCCCCCACCCTGTTGATCATCTGTCCTTTGGGAACATGGCCGGGAGCTGGGAGTCCCCAGTGCCCACTGCCCTGCCAGTGGCTGTTCATGCCACCTGCCTCCACACATGACTGGCTGCTTCTCCCCGAGCAAATCTCCAGTGTGCCAATTTCAATGGCATGCTCCTTTGCGCACCCAGTGAGTGCCCCAGCCCTCGGCAGGGCAGGCCTGCTCTTCCATTGCTAATAGCACTGTCACGTTCCCCGGGCACCTTGTCTCGGGCCCCAGTGCCTGGCTCTGGATATCCAGCTCCTCCAGTCCCCCGAATGGTTGCATGCCCCAAGCACCCACCTCCCCAGTGAGTAGCTTGGCCAGTGGTCCACTTGGCCAGAAATGGGCTCGTAACCCTGTGCTGACAAACAGGTGCTGTTTTCTCCAGGACCATGGGGTGGAGGGACACAGGCTTTGGGTGGCTGGGGGAGCTGGGGAAGGGACACAGGTTTAGGGTGGCTGGGGGAGCTGGGGAAGGGACACAGGCTTAGGGTGGCTGGGGGGAGCTGGGGAAGGGATGGATGGCTGAGGACCCAAGGGGAGATATTAAGACATGGCTGGATCTTACTGCCCTGTGGCTCTCACACCTGCCTCTTGGCTTGAGCCAGTTTGAATTGGGTCTGTCACTTGCCTCCCGGCTTCCTCCTCTGCCTCCCTGGACTTCCCCCACATGTGTCCTGGCCTGTCCTCCAGGGTCCCATCATTGTCTGCAGGCGCCTCCCTTCTCTTGCAGTTTGCTTGTTGTGCTGGGCAACTGAGTATGTGACCCCTACAAGGGCAGATCCTGGTTATCCCGATGCATCCCAAGGGGCAGCCCGGAGACGAGCACCAGCTGCCCACCAGCACTCATTGTATGCCAAGTGGTCTGGGGAGAAGACTTCACGGGCCTTGTCAGGACCTTGCACACGGAGTCACGGGGCTAGAAGAAGAATCTTCTATCGGACGCCATGCTCCGGGCCACTACGCAGGGCTAACCACGTCTGACCCCCCTAGAAACTACTGCCTGTGACCTACAACAGCCCCAAGAGGCTCGTCTGGAAGATGCCCAGCCTGAGCTCCTCTCTGCACTCTGCACCCCTACCCAGGCATCCCCTGCCTCCCTGACCCTGAGCCTGAGGCTGGGCTCGAGGTTTCAGTCTCGGGACAGATTATTTTCCTCCGGCCCGAGTCTGTTGAAAGAGAAATCAAGATTGGTGATATGGGGAAGCCTCCCAGGGCATGAGCAGGCTGGCGCTCCTGAAATGCTGCCGCCTTTCTCGCATGGCACTGGGACTTGCCTTCTCTGGGGCTCCTGGGTTCTTGGGTGAGCCCCAAATATGCAACAGCAGCCCCTTCCCAGCTGAGTAGCCTTAGGGACACAGGGGTGCAGCCCCCACCCAGTCAGCTTCCCTGGGCTGACCCAGCCCCAAGCTGTCCCTTTACTGCCAGGCCAGGGCACGAGCTGAGCACAGGACCTGTTGAGGAAAACACTAGGGCACCCACACCTGCCTCCCACATCTCCCTGCCCCAGTTAAAAGGCAGCACAACTGTTGTTGGGGCCACCTGCCTTTGCAGACTGGGGGCAGTGACTCCCAGGTACCAGGGGGACATGTTAAACGTCTCGTCCGTGGTCTCATAAGCACCCGGTAGGCAGACCCCTGTCTGTCTCCAAGGCTGTGTCAAGTTCAAGGCTTGGCCAGATGTGGAAGAAGGGGAAGAAATATTTCAGACTGGGAAACCCAGTACTTGCACAGGTCTTGGCACCTGGAAGAAGCTGCTGAGTTTGGGGCGGGGGGGGGGGGGGGGGGGCGGTTCCCAGGGTCTCAGTCGGGCTCTGGCCAAGCAGCATGCCCAGGAATTGCAGGTTTGGCTTGTCGGGGAGTGACCTGCAGAGCTGCACCTCTGGGACTGGTGGATTTCCAAGTCTGTGGCAGGTGTTTTTGGAGGGAGGCTCATAAGCAGGCTGCACCCTGCGGGCACCAGGACAGCTGCCACAAAAACGGAAGGGGCGGGTCCAAGGAGAAACAGCAGGTGCCCTGGATCCTGCGAGGGGCTGCTTCCCTCCAAATTGGGCAGGCCTTGGCCTTGCGGTTCACCCTTGGGGAGGCACCCAAGGGAGGGAGTTGTGGCACATTATAAAGACAGATCATCCATAGAGAAGGGGTGTGCACAGGGGTGCTCCTGAGTGGGGGCCACAGCTTCAGCTGCTGATGGCTGAGCTGCAACACAGCCAGCCCCTAAGGCACTAAGCGCCAGAGGCGCTCTGAGTGAGTGCTGGGGCCCACGTAGCTGACTGCAATCACTTTCAGATCTGTGCGGCGTGCCATGGAAGCAGCAGCTGCCAGCTCAAGCAGCTGTGTTCCCACCACCCACATGGGAGTTCCAGATTCCCGTGTAAGTTTGGTTCGCAGCTTTGGCCTGGGCTGTACCTGACTGTTGTGGCCCTTGGAGAAGAGGATTGGCACTCCATCTGCTTTTCAAATACATAGTTCCAGAAGCCTCCCACTGGGGCATAGCAAGTCAGGCTGCTGTCCTGACGCCAGCATCCCATGTGGCCGCTGGTCCGAGTCATGTCTGTTCCACTTGCGGTCCAGCTTTTTCTTCCTCATATACCTAGGGAATGCAGTAGGGGATGATCGAAGGACTTAGGCCCCTGAACCCTTGCAAGGAACCTGGAAGAAGCTTCTGGGTCCTGGCATCTGCCTGGCTCAGCCCTGTTTTGGCCATTTGGAGAGTGAACCAGTGGGTGAAAGCACTTTGTGTGTGTTTGCCCATCTGCATCCGTGCCCCTGCCTCTCTCTATAACTCTGCCTTTCAAATAAATAACCTCTTAAAACATGCCATAAGCATCTCCTGGGAGTTCCTGAGTCCCCTTCTGGGTTGGGGAGGATTCCTTACCTTCAGTGGTCCCACATGGGGCCTGGTCACTGGAGACATTTCTCAAGGATTTTCTTAAGTAGAAATGGAACTATTTTTGTGAAGCTTCACACTTGTAAAAGATGGGCTGAGGTGGTATGTCAGGCTAAGCCTCAGCCTGCAGTGCTGGCTTCTCATATAGGCACCGGTTTGAGTTCAAGCTGCTCTGCTTCCAATCCAGTTCCCTGCTAATGTGCCTGGGAAAGCAGCAGCAGATGGTCCAAGCGCTGGGGACCCTGCACCATGTGGGAGACCTGGACAAAGCTGGCTTCCTTCTGGCCTAGTTCCAGTCATCGTAGCCATTTGGAGAATGAACCAAGGAATAGAAGATCTTTCTCCTTCTGGCTCTGTTACTCGGACTTTCAATTTTTTTTTTTTTTTTTTAAGATATGCTGAAAGAAGTACTGACTCCACTTTCATTAGGATGGTTACTTTAAAATCACAAAACACAACAAGGGTGGCACTTGGGTCAGCGGGAGCCCTGCTGCTCTGCTGATGACGCAAAGGGGCGCAGCTGCTGCAGGAAGCGGCCTGGGGAGAGCCACGGGCACAGCCCTGCCGGCGGGATCAAGTGCCTGGTGGTGAATGACTGAACTGAACGAGATGTGACTTAACACAGGAGAGGAATTCTGACCCGTGCTACCACATGGATGCACCCTGAAGACACCACAATGAGCAAAGTAAGCCAGACAGCCGGAGCACAAACCCTGACCACCTGACAGAGCGTGACCTCCTGACACAGGCCACCAAGGGAGCAGTAAGCTAAGAGGCCACTTGGGGCAACGCTCGGGGTTCCTGGCCCAAGTCCCAGCCACTGGACTTTCGGTGCAGTTTCCTGCTAAAGTGCATTCTGTGATGCCTTAAGTAACACACTCCTTGCCAGCCATGCGGGGGACTGCATGAGCCTCTGGCTCCTAGCTTTGGCCAGTGCCAGTCCCAGCTGTCACGGGCATTTGGGGGGATGAACCAGTAGATAGGAGATCTCGCTCTCTGACCCTTCAAATAAGTAGGATGGCGATGTCCAGGGCTGAGGGGAGCTGGCACATCGGTCACTGGCTTGGCAACAGCATCCCAGAGATGATGGCTCAGCCATGGGACGAAACAATTGAATTTGCACACTCAGAAACGGCTAAGTTGGCAAATATGATGTGTGTCTTTCACAATTATGATAAAAAGTACTGTACAGGTTAACAAAATGTTTTAGCTGAGTGTATTACCACCTTTGAGATTTCTCAGTCCCACCTTCTTCTGCACAGTCCCTTCCAAGCCACTTCCCAACAAGTCCCACAAGGCGAGGTATCCTGGAGGAAACTGCATTGAAGGGAGCCACGAGCAGGTGCAACCCAGAACCTGGCCTGCTGGAGTAGAGCTCGTCCACACTCTTGGCTCTCCTAGCCACTGTCCTGGTAGGCTCAGTTGAAGGACTTAGAAATGTGGAATTGAGCTCCAGTCCCAACACGGCTGGCTGGGACACTGCAGGCACTGCGGCACAGGATAACACATCCCATAATGGAGCAGAGCTTGGAGTTTCAGCAGCTCCATTTCCAACCCACCTTCCTGATAAACCCAGGGAAGCAGGAGGTGGTGGCTGGAGTCTCTGGGGACCTACTTTGGGAAGTGGACCAGTAGTTGGAAGACACCTCTCTGTTGCTCTCCCTTTCAAGTTGATGAAAATAAACATTTTTTAAAAACGAAGCCCTCTGGGTCCAGCACGGTAGTCTAGTGGCTAAAGCTCTCGTCTTGACCCACCAGGATCCTATATGGGCACCCGTTCATGTCCTGGCAGCCCCACTTCCTATCCAGCTCCCTGCTTGTGGCCTGGGAAAGCAGTCGAGGATGGCCCAAAGGCTTGGGACCCTGCACCCATGTGGGAGACCTACCTAGAAGAAGCTCCTGGCTTCAGATGGGTGCAGCACCAGCTGTTGCAGTCACTTGGGAAGTGAATTATTGAACGAAAGATCTTCCTTTGTGTATATCTGACTTTCCAATAAAATGAATCTAAAATGAAAATGAATCAAAAAAAAAAAAAAAAAAAAAAGAAAGAAACCCTCTGGATCCAGCATGGTAGCCTAGTGGCTAAATCCTTATCTTCCATGCGCTGGGATCCCATATGGGCGCTGGTTCTAATACTAACAGTGCCGCTTCCCATCCAGCTCCCTGCCTGTGACCTGGGAAAGCAGTTGAGGACAGCCCAAAGCCTTGGGACACTGCAACTGTGTGGGATACTCTGAAGAAGTTCCTGGATCCTGGCTTTGGATCTGCACAGCATCGGCCATTGTGCTCACTTGGGGAGTGAATCATCGGACGGAAGATCTTCCTCTCTGTCTCTCCTCCTCTTTGTATATCTGACTTTCCAATAAAAAAAAATAATAAATCTTAAGGAAAAAATAAAATGATGCCCTGTGTCATGTGATCTGATTCTGAAGCCCCAGATTGTACAAACAGCGCTGCAGCTCCTGCCTGCTAGGGAGCTGTCTGCTGGAACCTGAAGCATGCTTGTCTTCTCTGGGGTCCCAGGATGCCAAGCAGGACATGGATGGAGTGGGGTCCTAGGTCTTCCCTTGGTCCTGGGCTCCTGGGAGTGCGGTGTGAGCACACTACTCCCCTTCCCCCTTCAAAGTTGGTCTCCCCATGGCCTGTACTCCGCCTCCTCAGGAGAGTGGGCTTTCCCTGGGGCATCCCTTGCTGCTCACGCTGCTTGGGAGAGGGAGGATATGCAGGCCCAGAGGGGAGCCCAGGGATCTCTGGCTCCCACCAAAACACTTGCCCTGCTGACCCTTCATGGCACAAACTCTTCTGGCAGAGCCACTCCTCCCCTGCCAGAAGCTCCTCAGAGCTTCACAGTTTAGCTAATCTAACTGGTGTGGCTGGCCCTCACCCAGGCATGTTCAGTCCCAATACACTGCAGGGCTGGGGTCTAGATGAAGAAGCCACAGGTGCACAGGAACGTGGGCAGGCTCCAGAATTGATGGGAACCCTGAAATCCAGGGCCCACAAGCGGGAAGCCCAGCCTGGCCACTGCTGGAGGGGTGGGAGGGGAGCCAATTGCAGGGCTGCCCTCCTCAGCCGCAGAGTCACGGTGGAGCCACTCCGTCCAGGCAGGTGAGGGCTGCCTCGGTTTGGTCTCAGGGGTGGGAGTTTCCAACCCAGGACAGAACCTGCGCTCCTGTGCCGGTAAGTATTGGTGAGGTTTAGAAACCCCTGGGACAAGTGGAAATCAGACGTGGCCACAGCTAGCAAGACTGATGACTCAAAAGAAGTTGGAAAAGGAGATGCCCACCGTGAAGCCGGGGATGGGTGAGGGCTTCTCAGAGACCAGTAAGTGCTTTTATAATACACCTGTCTGCAAGTATAAACACGCGCGCGAGTGGGTGAGACGCACGCGCCACAGGCTCCTCCACGTGGACTGGAAACGACTCCGAGAACCGCGGGAGGCGCGCGTGGACAGCAGAGGATGTCGTAAAGCCACAGTGAACCGCGACAAGAATCTGCATCCAAAGTGACAGCGGTGAACGCTCTAGCAACTTGGCTTAACTTTCAAAACTCACAGACCAACCAACAAACCGCACACAAAGGAACACCTGACCGACCCGCTTGGCAGTGCGTGAGTACGTAGCCCCACCCCCACCCGCCTCCCCTGCCCCTTTGCGGGGGAAGGAGGGTGCCCGCAAGGCCGGTGTCCCGCGCACGGCCTGCCGCCTGCGTCCCGCGCTGCCCCGGCCCGACTCCCGAACCGGGCCCAGCCGCGCCTCGCGCCGCTCACTCCCATTAGCAGCGACGGGCCGAGCCTCCCTCTGATTGGTGTAGATGCCGATCCCTCATTTGCATAGGGCATCGAGCCCGGGCTCCAGCAAACTGCAGTTCTTTTGCTGCCAGGGTCGATCTGTGCGTGAGGGTCGCCTTCCCCTTCTCTCCCGGTGGTCACCGAAGCAAGCGGGCGGGGACAGCGTCTTGCGGGACCCTTGTTCCTGGAGCCGGCCCGGCCCGGCGCTCCGTGGCGCGGACGGCGGCTCAGGGCTCCCCGCAGGCCCGGCCTTTCGGCGCCGGAGCCCCAGCACCCCTTCCTCCCCGCTTCTTTCCCGGACGGCGGGAAGGCGGGCCCCTCTCGGCCGCCGCTGCCTTCCGGCTCCAGGCCCCTTTGCAAGGGCCCTTGGTGGCGTCCGGGTAGCGAACACCTGCCGGTTCTCCGTTGCTGCACAGGGCTGCACACACAGGAGTGCTCAACGTTACCAAACCACTTTTTAAAAGGCTTACTTGAAGGGCGGAATTAGAGAAGGGCGCGCGCGCGCACACACACACAGAAAAAAAAAACTAACAGATCTTCATCCACTGGCTCACTCCCAAATGGCCTCAAACGCTGCAGCTAGTCTAATCTGAAGCCAGGAGCCTTCTCCGAGTCTCCCATGCGGGTGCAGGTCCCAAGGCTTTGGGCCGTCCTCCACTGCTTTCCCAGGCCACAGGGAGATGGGTGGGAAGTGAAGCAGTCCAGGACACAAACCAGCACCCACATGGGATGCCGGCTCTTGCAAGGTGAAGATTTTAGCCACTAGACATCGCACTGTCATCGAACAATTTCTTTTCCAAGATTTATTTGCAAGGTAGAGTTGTAGAGAGGACACACACACTATCCATCTGCTAGTTCTCTTCCCAAAGGCCAACCCCAGGAGCACCTCCGGATCTCAGTGTGACGGAGGCTCAGGGACTTGGGCTGTCCCCCCCTGCTTCCCCAGGCCACTGGCAGGAAGTGGATGGCAAGTGGGGCAGCCAGGACCAGGACTTGAACCAGCTGCCCATTTGGGATGCCCACGCTGGAAATGTGCCTCAGGGCTGGCTCCACAAACAAGTATTTGCAAAACAACTCTTAATGTGGTGAAAGTCACGTGGAAGTGACAGGGCCATGGGGCACCAAGCGGCCCCTGGCCCCCTCCCCACAGCTTCAACTCCCAGTTCTCAGAATGTGGCCCGAAGCCCGGGTCTTCCCTGTTCCTCTCTCTGTGCAGAGCCTGGGGGCTCTTGGGCTGTCACTGCCCACCCAGAACCCACGCTACCCCATGGTTAGGTCTTGGCCTTGGCATAACAGGCCCGCCCCCCCCAGGCTGGTTTTCCGCTAAAGGATTTCAACAGCTTCCAGGCGGAGAGGGTAAACAGAGGCCAGGAAGAAGCTCCACCAAACCTTTTTATTTATTTATTTTTTTCTCACCAAGCTCCAATGTCCCATTTGTGACAAAATCCATTCCTTAGGACTGCTGCTACAGGAAGACTGGGTAAGATCCAGAACTCCTCTTCCCGCCCTCCCCGCCCCCCAGCATCATTTCCCACAATGTAGGCAAAAGTTTATCAAATATAACTTATTCTGATAAAATACTTAGCAACTTAATTCTACAAGACCAAAAGCCAGAGGCAGAGCAGAAAGCAGCCTCAGATCAGGGCTGAGGGTTCCCAGCAGGGACCCAATCGAGGGAAGGCTTTGTCGGGCCTGGCTGGACATCTGGGCAAGCCCAGGTACCCCTGGGCCAGTGATGGCAGCAGGCACCCAACAGCCTCACCTGGGCCAGTGATGGCAGTGGGCACCCGACAGCCTCACCTGGGCTAGTGATGGCAGTGGGCACCCGACAGCCTCACCTGGGATTTCTAGCCACAATCAGGATGGCCACTTTCACCTCAGCCCCCAGTGTCGAGAAATATCATGCCACCGCCTTGCAGTGCCGGCAGCTGAGACGTGAGCTGCAGCCCTGGGTGTAGCAGGGGGTGGCAGAGTTCTCGCAGAGCCCTGCACTACTGCTTCTGTGGCCGCTTAGCCTCGGGCCCCTCCTGCTTCTCCGGTCTCAGCCACCGCTTCAGGGGTCCTGGGCCCCCTCTCTTGACCGGAAGGTTGCTCTTTGGCAGGAAATGCCTGGACCACTGGAACACGTTTGATTCTTTTTGGAATGCTTTTGAGTCTTCTTTTTTGGGTGAGTTTGAGGTCAGCCACTGCAACATCTTCTGGCTGCTGCCACTGGCTTTGGGCTCCTAGGAGAAAGTAGGAAAGGCTCAAACCACTCCTTGGTGCTTCTGCAAAAGGCCCACTCCGCGGAGACCTGGGGAAGAGGCCCCAGCTGCTGACCAGGGCTGGGTGACACTGCTAAGGCCAGATGGGGCCTTCTGGCCCTGGGTGGGCAGAGGGTCTTGGAAGCCTAACAGAGGATGAGGTGGCTTGGTCGGAGAAGGCAGTTCAGGAGAACGCTGCTAGAGGCTGCAGAGGCGTGCATGACCTCCCCACAGCTGCCAGGCCAGGTCACAGCTGGCTGTCTGCACAAGCTCCCCACTGTCACCACTCCAACTGCTCTCCATTAGTGCACCTCAGCAGACCGTTACTTTTGCAGGTAGAAATAAAGCACTGCCTAAAGAACTGCTTAGTTTTAGATCACTAATGGAAAACAAACAAGAACAACTGTTAGAATTGCAGCTTGTAGAGAACTGAGACAAAACAGATGAGCCTGACTGTGAATATGTAAAGAGAACTTTAAAACAGAGGGGCTGGTGCGGTGACTGCAGCTTAATCCTCTGCCTGCAAGTGCTAGCATCCCATATGGGTGCTGTTTCATTTCCCCATTACTCCACTTCCTGCCAGCTCCCTGCTTGTGGCCTGGGAAAGCAGGGGAGGACAAAGCTTGGGACCTGCACCCACGTGGGAGACCTGGAACAAGCTGCTGCTCCTGGTTTCGTATTTACTCAGCTCTTGGCCACTGAGCCATTAGGGGAGTGAACCAGTGGATGGAAGATCTTCCCCTCTATCTCTGTAAAACTGCCTTTCCAAAAAAAAAATTTTTTTTTTAATTTATTCATGTCTATTGGAAAAACAGACTTATACAGAGAAAGAGACATAAATAAAAATAATTTAAAAAAGAAAAACCCCACAGGAATGAGGTGGCTGCTCTCGCGACCCTCCCCCCGCCCCGACGGCTCAGGCATGACGAGGTTTGTTCTGGAACACCAGGAGCAGGTCCTACTGAGCTCCTTCCATGGCACAATGCCCGTGCCGCAGCCTTTACTCCAGAATGTTCTGGAGCCAGCTCCTTGCCTGTTTATTCTGCCTTCAATAGCACACCCTCCACATCCTTGCCAATTTTAAGGACTCAAGTTTGTAATCAGAATGCTGTCCAATCCCTCTGAAGAGACTGACGCCTGGAACGCCTTCACCTCACGGTTGGGGAAACAGATAACGTCACGAGCCCTAGCTGGACAGGAACCAGACACAACACTGTCAAGCACCCCTTTGTCTTGTACTGCTTCTCCAGACAGAGTCCTCCAGCTGGCTCAGCAGGCCCACTCAAGTTCTGGCTGTAAACGGCCGTCTCCCACCAGAAAGGGCTATCCCACACTGCCAGTGGCAGGACACACCTTTTTGATGACCATCAGGTGGGCAGGAGTCACACACTGGGGAGTGTCGTTGTGGCAGTTGTTCACCACGGGAGAGACTGGATGGAAGGTGATGTTGTCTGTAGGGTGGATTAACTGCAGGGCTTCCTGAGTTGAGACCTCACCGAAGTCAAGCCACTTAGAGACGGCCTCTTCCCCATCCAGGATAGCAGGCATCCTAGGCAGGGAGGTGAGGGGAAAGGAGAAGTAGAAAGGAAAAGAGATCCGAGTGAGCTGACGACTCCCAGCTGACAGCCGCCACTTGCTGTCTGAACACAACTGGGTAAGGATGCTAGATTCAACTCCCAGAGAGCTACACTGAGAAATTCTGAGGTGGGTCAGTCTGGTGCCATGGAATAGCAGACTGTGGTGCCAGCATCCCATTTGGGCACTGAGTCTTGGCTGTTCCACTTCTCACCCAGCTCCCTACTAAACATCTGGGAAAGTAGTGGAGGATGGCACAAACGCTTGTGCCTCTGTACCCACAGAGGAGACCCGGGAAGGGGCTCCTGGCTGCTGGCTTCAGACAGGCACAGTTCTGGCCATTGTGGCCACTTGGAGAGTGAATCAGCGGATGGAAGATTTTCCTGTCTGTGGGAGAAGGGGGTGGGGAGCCTGGTGTTATGGTACACAAGTTAAGCACTGCCTGTGACACTAGCTTCCCATAGCAGAGCGCCGGTTTAAATCCCACTGATTTATCTCTGGCAGTCTCCCTGCTCATGTGCCTGGGAAAAAGGTGGCAGACAGACCAAGCACTGTCACCCACACATAAAACTCTTTTAAAAAACAAAAAAGGAAGGAAATGTGTATTTACCAAAAAAAACCTATGACCAGATTTCAAAAATCTTTTCCAGAAAACGTTTTTTTCATGAAATTTTTCATTCATAAACTTTTTTGAAGTATCCCACAGTTTAACTTGCTGTAATTCACACATCTTTACCTAAAACCGAATAAAACAATAGTATACTTTTTAAGGAATTCATTTTTTTTTTTTTTAATTTTCTTTCTAATGTTGCTTCCATAGTTGAGTGGGCTGCGTGTCCATGTGGGCCTCTGATCACAGTGGGGAGGGTCAGGTACAGAGGAAGGTGGGTGGGAACAGTACATTTGAAAAGTAGTAATTTTTAGATTGTATGAGATGGAGGAACTTATTTTCAGGTTAATTAGCAAAAAACTACCACATGAAGGCATATTTTTACAGATATAGCTTAGGATAAGGCTAAATAAAGTGGGTACAGGTATAGCATGACACATTCTTTCCAGTGGAACTTCGGAGAGCATGCTGAACTAGCAAAAATTGAGAAGGTGTACAGTCAGCTCTGTTAATGCCTGCTTTTAACATACAAGTCTGGGGCCTGGTGCAGTGACCTAGTTGCTAAAGTCCTTGCTTTGAATGCACCAGGATCCTATATGGACGCCGGTTCTAATCCTGGCATCTCCGCTTCCCATCCAGCTCCTTGCTTGTGGAAAAGCAGTAAAGGACAGCCCAAAGCCTTGGGACCCTGCACCCACATGGGGAGTGTGGAAGAAGCTCCTGGCTTCAGATCGGCTCAGCTCCGGCTGTTGTGGTCACATGGGGAGTGAAATATCAGACGGAAGATCTTCATCTCTGTCTTTCTTCTTCTCTCTACATATCTGACTTTGCAATAGAAATAAATAAATGTTTAAATAAAACAAAATAAAAATAAAATGCAAGTCTGTTGCGATGCAACTGATACATCAGAGCACCTGGAGCTCCATGCAGGTTCCGGGCTTGCTCTGCTTCTGCGCCATCTCAGAGGGTGAGCGCACACAGCTGCCCTGCTGACGGAGTGCACAGAAGGCACAGCCACTCCGCTCCAGCGCTCACGGCTCCCTCGCCTCCTGCCTTATTACAAACAAAGCTGACTTTTGCTCTTCTTGGGCAGGCGGTGCATGCAAATGCAATGCTGTAAAGGATGAAGGGTTTCAAATGATACAATATCTTGAAAAAAAAAAAAAGAGAACCTGATTCTCTTCACATTTTTAAGGATTTGACAAAACGCTGCAAAAAAAGAAGTGATGTGAAGCCAATAGCAACCAACCTAAAATAACAGAAACGACGGAAAGATCGTTAGCACAGGCATGAGTGCTAAAGTAAGAAACAATCCCGAAACCTGGAATCCAACAAAAAAAAGAAACTCTGAGAAACAGCACCACTGATTTATACGACCTTGGGCCATTCCACCCTGCCTTCCTAGGCCACTAGCACAGATCTGGATCAGCACAGGAGCAGCCAGGACTTGAAGAGACTCCCCCGCAGGATGCTAGTGCCACAGACAGAGAATCAGCTTGCTATGCCATCACACCAGCCCCAGCTTCCCTCGGTTTTTTATTCTCAAAACCTAAAAGCATAAACTCTTACTAGAATCCTGTTGGACCCTGGGATAAGAATGACGACTTGCCTCTGGTGGATGTCATTCAAGCCCGGAGAGGCATCCACCGTGATAATGGCATAAGAGTACAGGAGGTCTCCTCCCTCCGGGGGCTCCCAGCAGTCGAAGATCCCGGCCATTGTCAGCAGCCGCCAGTTGTCCCATACTTGCTCCCAATCCTCTGGACCCATGATGTCAGGCTGGAAGCAAAACACACGGGCAAGTAAGATGCAGGCAGCAACCTTCCTCCGCTTGAGGCTGGATTCTACTCCAGGCATAACACAGCGATCATCTCAGAAGTCATCCAACCCAGGCCCTATTAACCCCTCTTGACCAACGTTACTAAGGAAGCAGCTCAGTGCGAGTGTAGATTCATGGTCCATTTAACACCTTCAGTGGGCACAGAGGCCTTCCGTGGTCTAGTCCATCCCTCTAACGAGAACTCATACTGCTAATCTGAACCCCGAACAACAGTAAAGGAGGCTCTTGTGCAACGCTAAGCCCCTACGTGTTAACGGAAACACTTCCTCTGCCCAACATGTCCTTCCCACCCTTCCTCATCTTGCTAACTGCCACTTGCTGTTGAAGACTCAGTTCAAGACTCAGCACACATACAGCTGGAAAGCATGGCACTTGATCCTTTATTAGAAAGGACACGGAGGAGCCCAGTGCAGGCGCCTAGCAGCTAAAGCCCTTACTTTGCATGTGTCAGGGTCCCATATGGGCACCAGTTCTCATCACAGTGGCCCCGCTTCCCATCCAGCTCCCTGCTTGTGGCCTGGAAAAGCAGTTAAGGACAGCCCAAAGCCTTGGGATCCTGCACCCGTATGGGATACCCGGAAGAAGTTCCTGGATCCTGGCTTCGGATCGGCATAGCATCAGCCGTTGCGCTCACTTGGGGAGTGAATCATCGGACAGAAGATCTTCCTCTCTGTCTCGCCTCCTCTCTGTATATCTGACTTTGCAATAAAAATACATAAGTCTTTAAAAAAAAAGTGGACTTTCATGCAAGTGCTGGTCTGAGTTCTGCTGCTCCACTGACGACCCAGTTCCCTGTACTGCACCTGGGAAGCAGGGGAAGATGGCCCAGGCGCGTGGGCTGCTGCCCCATGAGGCTCCTGGCTCCAGTCCTGCTGCAATAGCCACTTTGGAAGTACACTAATGGATGGGAAGACCCTCTTTGTTTCTCCCTATTTCTCTCTGTAACTCTGTCTTTCAAATAAATAAAATAAACCTTAAAAACAAAACAAAAAAGTGTGAGTTAAGAAAAAATTGCCCTTCTTTGAATTAATCTGTTTCCTTGTACCTTTCCAAATTATACAGTGAGTACTGGTAATAATACCTTTTCTGTCTTGATTTGGGGGAAATAGATGAAATACGGCTGCGTCTGCTTGGTGTACAGATTTCGCTGCCACTCGTAGAATCCATCTGCCAAAACGACACATCGCCTTCCTTTTCCCAGAGGCACCTGAAGAAAATCGAGAGCAAGCCATAGTGTTAGTGATACAATCGTGTTCACAAGGAATTACTACATAGACTTGTAAAAAATCATTATTGGGCTGGACACGGCAGCCTAGTGGCTGAAGCCCTTGTCTTGCATGCGCTGGGATTCCATGTGGGCTCTGCTTCTAATCCCAGCTGCTCCACTTCCCATCCAGCTCCCTGCTTGTGGCCTGGGAAAGCAGGGGAGGACCGCCCAAAGCCTTGGGACCTGCACCCGCATGGGAGACCCAGAAGAAGCTCCTAGCTCCTGATCAGCTTAGCTCTGGCCGTGGCAGCCTCTTGGGGAGTGAACCAGTGGATGGAAGGTCTTTCTATCTGACTTTCCAATAAAAATAAATAAATCTTAAAAAAAAAAAAGAAAGAATCTCATGATTAACCTTAGTATAGGTATTTGGTTTCTCTGTACTCACTTTTCTTATGTATTGTGACCACTCAGTTACATAGGTATTAAAAAGATTAATGTATGTAAAAGCAGTCAGCTCTTTTTGAACAAGTAAGCACCAGTGGTGGCTAGTTTCCAAAACCAGATGTTCAATGAACTATGTTCTCATATTCATTCCCTACCTAGTCCACCCACTCCCACTGTGAATTTCAGCTGACTAAATGTGACCTAGAGCTCATGGCAAAGCTTTGCAGCCTCTGTTGAGCTCTCGTAGGTCCTCAACTCTGGGGTAGCGGGCCTCCATGTCACTCTCTTGACACTCCCAGGCTAGGCATGTGCAATGGCTTTGTTATTCCAGTCATTCTAGCTAATGGGGCAGATGAGGATGGAAAAAGCCATCTTGGACATCCAGCTCCAGGTGCCATCTGATTACAACCACATGAGATCCTCCAAACAAAAACTGCCCCAATCAGCCTGGACACTCCTCAGAACATAGCAATAATAATTTTTGTTTTAAATCAGTAACTTTGGGGACGGTTTGTTGTCAGACAGGAATAAGCAGTACAGCATCAACATGAATTGGGAATCGTGGAAGCTTATCTTATTTCTCAGGTACGCGGAGTACTAAAAACTGATGGAAAAAAACAGCAGAGTAGAGCCACCACCTTGTCTCTTCCATACTTCTACTTCATTTTTATCTTAATGTAATATTAACACAAAGAGATCAGATTCAATGCAATTCATGGGTACAATTCTTTTTTGTTTTTTATTGTGGTGTTTATTTACGTTTTCTTGCTAGCATGTTATCCTGAGCATGTTTTCATGTGTCTACTGGTCAGTTGTATTTTATCCTTTGAAAAAAGCAGGTTCATATCCTTAGGCCATTTCTGAAATGGATTATTATTTCTTTTTCCACAGGTATAATTCTAAGAATATAATCCTATTCTCTTCCTCCCTCCGATCCTTCCCCTAGCCACCTACCTTGAAAGACCGTTTCTCCGTTATGGTATCACTACGACAGTTACTTGTGTTGAGCTTAAACTTGGAAAGGTCATCTTTGAACCAAGACGGGACCAAGCCCCATCGCATGGGGGCAATGATACGCTCAGAAGAGTCTGCATTCTGCCACAGAAAAAAAAGTTGGAATTCAGTGAGAAGAACGTAATGAAATTTAGGAAACCATGTGGCTGGCATGGTGGCACTGCATGTTAATGCCCCAGCCTGTGGCACTGGCATCCCAAAAGGCATTGGGTCCCTTCTTACCAAAGTGTGTCAGGACATTAAAATCTACAGATTTCATCAATTTCTCCAGGTGTCCATTACAGAAAAAGTTCGAAGACACAGAATGGAATAAGCAAAGGGAGAAGACTTAGCAGGAATCTGGAACAATCCACGCATAGGCTTCCTCCTCTTTTCTTGTACACGTTAGGGCCCTGGCCCTGAACTGATGGCTCAGCTGCTAAATCCTTGCCTTTTCACGTAGCGTCGGGATCCTACATAGGTGCTGGTTCGTGTCCCAGGGGCGCCAATTCCCTTCCAGCTCGCTGCTCATGTCTTGGAAAAGCATTAGAGGATGGCCCAAAGCCTTGGGACCCTGCACTTGCATGGAAGACCAGGAAGTAGCTACTTGGGGATTGAACCAGCAGACAGAAGATCTTGTTCTCTGTCTCTTCTTCTCTCTGTAAATTTGCCTTTCCAATAAAAACAAATATTTAGGAGAGGCTACATTTAATTTATTTATTCTTTTTTTTAATTCATTTATTTTTACTGCAAAGTCAGATATACATAGAGGAGGAAGACAGAGCAAGATCTTCCACTTGATGATTCACTCCCCAAGTGACCACAGGGCCAGAGCTGCGCCGATCCGATGACAGGATCCACGAGGGTCTTCCAGTTCTCCCACACGGGTGCAGAAAAAAATTATTTATTTTTATTGGAAAGGCAGATATACAGAGAGGAGGAGATAGATCTTCCATCCCCAAGCAGCTGCAACGGCCAGAGTTGAGCCGACTCGAAGCCAGTCGCTAGGACTGAGGAAAAGTTTGTCAACCTTTGTATAGGGAAAAAAACAAGGTCTTTGAAAGAAGCCACTGGGTGTGGCAGTGGGTAGTGATGCCAGCACCCCAGAGTGGTGCCAATTTGAGTCCTGACTGCTCCACTTCCAATCCAGTTCCCTGCTAACGTGCCTGGGAAAGCAATAAAAGATGGGTCAAGTACTTAGGCTCTGCAGGAGACTCAGAAGAAGCTCCAGCTTTCTGGCTTAGAATTGGCACAGCTACAGTCATTGCAGCCATTTGGGAAAGTGAAACTGCAGGCAGAAGGGGTCTTTGTAACTTTCAAATAAATAAAACCCTCCTTAAAAAAAAAAAAAAGGAAGAAGACGAAAGAAAAAAAAGGCCTGGTGCAGAAGCATAGTGGCTACAGTGAACCCATGGACAGAAGAAGATCTTTCTCACTGTCTGTCCTCTGTAAATCTGACTTTCCAATAAAAATAGTAAAAATGTATTTTTAAATAGCACCTTATCGGGCCCGGCAGTCTGGCCTAGCGGCTAAAGTCCTCACCTTGAACACACCAGGAACCCATATGGGATCTAGTCCAGGCAGCTCCACTTCCCATCCAGCTCCCTGCTTGTGGCCTGGGAAAGCAGTCGAGGACGGCCCAAAGCCTTGGGACCCTGCACCTGCGTGGCAGACCCGGAAGACGTTCCTGGATCCTGGCTTTGGATCGGCATAGCACCAGCCGTTGCACTCACTTGGGGAGTGAATCATCGGGCAGAAGATCTTCCTCTCTATCTCTCCTCTCTGTATATATGCCTTTCCAATAAATAAATAAATCTTTAAAAAAAAATAGCACCTTATTTATTTGTAAGAGAACTAATGTTACAGCAAATGTAAATAAAAATAATAACATCCCTTCTTTGTTACTTATGAGGTCAGGTTAGTCTCAACCTTCTAGGCCAGAAATTTTACTCATCTATAACAATAGGGTGAAAAAACAAAAACAAACAAACAAAAATAGGGTGAAAAATATATATATGTACACACATACATATACTTATGTCTTACAGGACAAGCTTAAATTAAATTAAGAGGCAGAATTACAGTGAGAAGGGCAAATTGAGAGAGAGATTCCATCTGCTGGTTCTCTGCCCAAATGGCCACAGTGGCCGGGATGAGCAGGTCTAAAGCCAGGAGCATAGAACTTCGGAGTCTCCCACAGAGTGTGGGGCCCAAGAACCTGAAGCAGCCTCTGCTCTTTTCCCAGGGCCTAAGCAGAGAGCTGAATCAAGTGGCACAGCCAGGACATAAATTGGCACTCACATGGGATGCTTGTGCCACAGGTGTAGGACTAGCCTGTTTGGCTACTGCACTGACCCCAGAGGACAAATTTTAAGAACTAAAGCTAACATACTTCAAACATGTGCCAGAGTTGGGCATTTGGCTTAGCAGTTGAGATAGTGGTTAGGATTCCTGCGCCACATATGGGAGTGTCTGAGTATAATGCCTGTCTCAAGTTTCGATTCTAGCTTCCCGTTAACACTGACCCTGGGAAGGCAGCTGCAATGCCTCAAGCAACTGAGTTTCTGTCACCTATGTGGGAGATCTGGCTCCTGGCTTGGCCAGCCACTGACATCAAAGAAGTAAATCAGTACACGGGAGCTCTAATTGTCAAATAAAAATAAAAAATGAAAATGTGTGGCATGGAATAGGCACATGCATTGTGTTATTTTTTGAAAGTTAGGATTAAAAATAGACAGCAGAGGCCAACACACTGGCTCACCTGCCTAATCCTCTACCTCCAAACCCCGGCATCCCATCTGAGCACTGGTCTGTGTCCCAGCGGCTTGTGGCCTGGGAAAGCAGAGGAGGGCGGCTCAAGTTCTTGGGTCTCTGCACCCACATGGGAGGCCCAGAAGCTCCTGGCTCTGGATTGGTTCAGCTCAGAAACACACTTACTGGGCTACTTGGATTTGTTTACCATTCTATACCTATGAATTAGAGATGTGGACGTACTTAAACACAGGAAATTCATACCACAGACCCAAAGGAGAGCCGTATGTACAGCAAATGCATCTTGAATAACTGCTTTTCAAGATTTATTTAGTTGAATGGCAGTTACACCTAATTTTTCATGGCAGGTTTACTACTCAAATGGCTACAATGGCCAGAGGCAAGCCAAGCCAAGCTGCTGGAACATCTGGGTCTTCCAGCGTGGGTCAGGGGCCCAAGCACTTGGGCCATCTTCTGCTGATTTTCCAGGCATAGTAGGGAGCTGGATCAGAGGTGGAGCAGATGGGACAAGAACAAACCAGGGCTTATATGGGATGCCAGGGTAGCAGGTCACACAGCTCTAATCACTTCATTTTATAGTACTGATTTGGGAGTTTATAAATAAAATTCAGTGGGCCCAGTATGGTAGCCTAGTGGCTGAAGTCCTTGCCTTGAATGCACCAGGATCCCATATGGGCACCAGTTCTAATCCCGGTGTCACACTTCCCATCCAGCTCCCTGCCTGTGGCCTGGGAGAGCAGTCAAGGACAGCCCAAAGCTTTGGAACCCTCGATTAGGCTTTTGGGTTCTGGCTTCGAACTGGCTCAGCACCAGCTGTTGTGGCTGCTTGTGGAGTGAATCAACGGACTAAAGAGCTTTCTGTCTCTCTTCCTCTCTGTATATCTGGCTTTCCAAGAAAAAGAAATAAATCTTTTAATAAAAATCTGCAAGACAACAATACTCTAAATCCACAGTTGCCAATCATTTCTCCACACCTTTCCCATTGCCCAAAGACTCTGACAGTATCCGGCGACATCTTCAAGAGTTGTGACCAAGTGCAGGGCAGGGGAGGCGGGAGGTTCTACTGGCATCTAGTAGGCAGAAACCAAGGATGCTGATAAACATTCTCCAACGCACGGGCAGCTTCCCACATGAGGAATCGCCTTGTGCAAATATTTCAGTAGCGCCACTGTCAAGAAATCGCACTCTCTCCAAGTGACTAGAGTGTGTTCAACTGGACAATTACAAACCAAACCCAAATGTGAAGACAACCAATAGGAAGTAGTTGAGAAGCCAAAGCACTGATCAATATTAGTCATCTTTTCCTCTCCTTGAACCTCTGAAGCGAAGAGCTGGGGGCGACGGGCAGGTGAATGAAAGAGGAAGTAATTGGCAAATCAGCGGTTTCAAATGTAAATACCACAATCTATACATACACGCGGGCCGTTAATGGCTTGGATGAATGAGCTCCTGGTTCTAATTCTGCTTTACAATTTACAAGCTTGAGAAAAATGAAATAACAAATATTTACCAAATTATGAAAACTATACTTAGTGGAGATGCGGAGTCAAACACTCCATCAGTAGTAAATTCAAACCACCAACCAGAGAGACTGTTGGTGAACCATGTACTGGTCAAGAGGGGGCTGTGGTTTGGATCAGGGTTCCAGCTCCGCTCCCCACCAACTGGGTAAACTGGGGCAAGCCAGGATCTTTCCACATCTGTCTTTACATATCTGTTGAACAACTTTTTCTTCTTGCTAACATTCATTCTATAAGTCTAAAGAAGTGATACGAAGAGAATTAAGGCTAAAAAAGAAAGCAATTAACACATACGCACTTACTCTCACTAGAAATCTTCCTTTCAAACAGGTTCTAACTTTTACCCTTCATGATCCCTCAGGGCCCGATGCATTAGCCTAACAGCTAAATCCTCATCTTGCATCCCCCTCATCATGTCTCAGCTGCTCCACTTCCCATCCAGCTCCCTGCTTGTGGCCTGCAAAAACAATCAAGGACACCCCAGGGGACCCTGCACCAAGAAGCTCTTAGCTTCGGATTAGCTGTTGCGGCCACTTGGGGAGTGACCCAGCGATGGAAGATCTCTGCATATCTGCCTTTCCAATAGTAATAATAATAATAATAATAATAATAATAATAATAATAATAATAATACATTTTTATATATATAAAGAATTAGAGCACATGCCAGCATAATGGAAGCTTTTCAACAGTCATGAAATGGCAACTGTTTTAGATCAGCTGCTCTTAATCTGCTTAGACCTGGAGAGTCTAAAATTCAGCTGGCCTGGTATGAAGCATGGAAATGTTATTAAAAAAAAAAATTCTGATAATCAGCGAAGTTTGAAGGCTGCTTCCTTACAGACACCTGACACGATGAACGATGTCCCTCAGGCCACAGCCGTTGGAGCACCGGGTGCACAACACATCACTAAAGGTGCGTTTCTGGTGTCACCTCGGAGACCACACCTGCGACCTGCCAACACGAAGCTGGTTACCTTCTCAAAGTGCAGCCGCGACAGGAGCACGGGGTTGTGCGACCGGGGGCTCTTGTTGTAGGAGGGGCTGTACTTGTCCGGGTCCTTCCACTCGGGGAGCCTCTGCCGGCCCCTCCGATCCCGATAGGCACACGCTCTGGTGAGCACGTCCAGAGGCAAGTGGCAGGAGGTCCGCCCGCACATGTTTCGGCTCAGCCTCTTGCAACCTTGAAACTGGCAAACACGGAGAGGCGTTAGGGGTGAGGGGCCCTGCCCGGACAGACTGGACGCTGGCCAGTCCTCCCCTACAAGCACCGTCTGCTCCCCGCTCCCTGACCCGCGGGCGAGCCCCGAGCGAGGCACTGAGGTTCAGCAGGTGTTCTGCTGATGATTTCTGAATGCGTCAAGGCAGGGTTCCCCGGAAGGCGAGGGGAGCCAGCTGCGGCCACTGGCCTCTTGCGGTCCCTCCACTGCTTGGCTCTCCGCGCCTCCCCCCGGCCCGCACCCGCCAGCCTGAAGAAGCGGCCGGGCTTCCTGTCCACCCGTCGGGGCTCCTCAGCTGCCGGCCACGGCCCAACAGGTCCGACCTGCGGGCGGCCGACCCCGCTGAGCGACCGGCGAGGTGCGGGGAGCTGGCCTCCGGCTCGGCCTTCCGGGCAGGCTCCCCACCTCTACCACCCCCGGCCCAGGTCCCCAGGCCGCCGGGTGGCCTTTTTTCCCCTCAGCCCAGTTCCCTTTCCCGGTCCTCACCTCGCCTCAGCACTGTCTCCACTCCCGCGTCGCCCGCGTCTCCTCACCGCCCGCCCCGGCGGCCTCAGGCCCCGCCCCCAGCGCGCCCTCCCGGCCCCGCCCACGAGGGGGCGTCCCCCGCCCTGGCCACGCCCACGAGGGGCGTTCCCCGGCCCTGGCCCATTGTCCCGCAGCCCCGGCCCCGCTCGCGTCCCCCGCGTCTCCTCACCGCCCGCCCCGACGGCCTCAGGCCCCGCTCCCGGCGGAGCGTCCTCCCTGGCCCGCAGCCCCGGCCCCTCTCCCGTCCTCCCGCCCTGGCCCACAGCCGCAGCAGGCGGAGTCTCCCCTCGCCGGAAAGGATGAATTCCCGGAAGTCCCCTGCGCTACTGCCACCTTGGCCAGCTTGGGGGGCGCGGCTTTAACCTCCCCTCCCCTCAACGCGGGGTCCATGAAGGGTGAAGTCAGGAAACTTTTGAAATCTTCACAGTCCTGCAGATGGCCTCACAGTGTGGGGCAAAATGGGGAGTCACGCAAGTCCCTCTCCAGCGCTGGTGGACACGGCAGTGAAGCTTCCCGGGATCGCCCTGATTCCTGGAAACAGGCACTGCAGCTACTCCTGCACAGCTGTGAGGGGCTGAGAGTGTGGACAAATCAGGAGCCAAGAACACCTGGTGTGATGGTGCATCTCGGAGCTGCTGCGGGGTAGGCAGCTAGCCGGGGGTCTGGAGCCAGTCCCCCTCCACCTACGCGTCCCTTCTGCCCACCTGTGGTCAGATGGAACCCGAGGGGCTGGTATCCCACCGTGGCGTAGCCACTGCCCTCACAGAGGCCCTGACGGCGAGGGGCGAGGGGTCGTGTGTTTCTGTCGGCCTGGCACTCTGACCTGGCCTCCCCAGTTCCTGCTTGCTCTCTGGCTGCCCAGACTCCGAGCATAGTTGGCCTCTGAATGTCTGTATTCCTCGCCCTCAGTTCACTCCTTGAGCGAGTCAGTGACGATGTTAATGCTGAGAGGCTTTGTGTTTCTAATTTTTGTACTTTCCAGAGTCCCAAGAGAGGTGAGGCCTAGTGGTAAGGGAATGTGGACAGCGAAGCCAGGAAAAAGGTCTCTCTTTCTTGTCTCCCTCTGGTTGTGAATTCCAGAGGAAGGTTCCCTTAACCCAAAGTTGTCTTCTCTCTTCCCCCTTTGTTCAGGTTGTGAATCGCTGTGATTCTTCCCTTTTGGCTTTAAGTTTAATTAACACAGGAAAACCAACCCTAGAGACTCTTAGTTCCACCGGAGGTAGTGATTAACAAAAGCTTGCATATTTTGCCCTTTGACACCCTGGCTTTTTGGGATAGAAGCTTGTATGTTCTTAGACAAGGTGCATCACCCTAAAAGCATGGATGATGGCCGCAGTGTAGTTTATTAATAAAATCATCTCTCTGTTAAGCATCTTTTCATTGTTCAATTAATCCTGACACACCTGACACTCCAAGGCTGTTCTTCCCCCATCACCTCCCAGCAGGTGGACAACACCAGCCCAAACCCCATCTCCCTCCTCGGCCCACAGCAGCTCCCATCTGCCCACTCTCACAGCAGAGGGGCTGTCAGTAAAATGTTGGCATTCCCCAGACAAACCTACAGAGTCCTGGTCCCAGGGCTTGATGCTGGTCAGGGAATGAGCAGGAGAGGGTTCTGCCATGGGGCGAGCAAGAGCAAAGGGGCTGTGGATACAGGGGCGGAGGAGTGCTGTACTGGGTGGTAGGTGGTCTCAAAGGGGAGCTAGATCCCTAAGCATGAGTCTGCTTAGTAATTATTCAATAAATACATGCTGATTTATTTCAGGCAGAAGATGGCTTCTTTGGGGATAAATTCTAGAAGAGGTGCCAGCATTTTATTCATTTGCAATGCCCATTCCCTGGCAGGCAGGACAGCAAGATCTAGGCCAAGTCAAAATGATCCCCTAGTGAAAACAAACAAAAAAAAGCCCCAACACTTGTGAATGGGGTTGAATAAAAAATGCAAAATGATTCCTAATTATTTTTCTATCCAGAAGCTTGTGAAGCAGTTTTCACCCATTTCATGGCCAAGGTGTGACTCCTGCTTAGTGTTTGGGGAAAGGGGATTACAAAAGGACAGATGCAAGCTGATCCCTTAGCCCACAGATGCCAGGATAACGTCCACCGGAAGCTCCTCTGAACTTCTGGCTGTTACTTGCATGGTCACTGTTTCCAAGAGCAGCAGCCGGGCACGCACCAGGATGTCATGGCCACCCCGGAACACACCTAGAGAGGAAGAGAGAAGTGCAGGTAGTAAGGTAAGAGGAGGCCCACGGAAGCAGCAGGACTGCTGGGGGTCAGCAGGGGCGTCCCGCAGGCATGCCCGAGGCTTGTGCCTCATGAACCTCTCTGAGCCTCTGCGGGAGCAGAGGGGTGTCTGCCCCTAGGTTTCTGCCAAGATTTAGCTCACACCTCTTGTCAGAGGCTCATCCATATTGGCTGATTCGTAGAGGCCCTATCATGAGAAAACCACAAAGCAGGTGTCTGCAAGACCCAGGGGACCCAGGGTTGTTTCAATGCGGCCAGAAATCATGGTCTTGGAGCCTGTCAGCTGTGAGCAGGGCACTGAAGCGAAACGTCCTCCCAGACCCCAAGTCCCATTTCCTTTTGTTAACCGTTTAACGGTAACATCTTAGAGAAAGGAACATACAGACACAGAAACATTTATAAATAAAATGTTCTATCTGGAATTTGCATGAAAGTCATGGGGGGGCATGAATGTGGATGCAGGTGCTGGCAGGCACTAGTACTGGAAGTGAAGTACATGGGATTCACTGTAACTCCTACGTGGGAGACCCCAAAGAAGTTCCTGGGTCCTGGCTTCAGTCTGGCCCAGGTCCAGCAGTTATAATCATTTGGTGAGTGAATTCATAGATGGAAGATCTCTCTCTCTTCCTCTCTATCTCCATCCCAGTCTTTCTCCCTCCCTGCCTCTGTAACTCTGCCTTTAAAATAAATAAGACAGATCTTTTAAAAAATTTTTAAATTCTATTTTATCACATATATTTTCTTTTTTAAAAAATGAGGAAGCTCTACATATTCACAGCAAAGATCTTTAAGAAACACTGTAAACAACAAAAATAAGGTGTGCTCTGTGCTACAGAGCAATGCAGTTGTACAAAATGCAAACTTGTACAAAAATGTAATTTTACAAAATGAGTTTAAGAATGGGTGTTCTGGGCTCAGCATGATAGCGCAGCGGCTAAAGTCCTCACCCTGAACACAGCGGGATCCCATATGGGCACCGATTCTAGTCCTGGCAGCTCCACTTCCCATCCAGCTCCCTGCTTGTGGCCAGGGAGGGCAGTTGAGCACAGCCCAAAGCCTTGGGACCCTGCACCCATGTGGGAGACCCGGAGGAGGCTCCTGGCTTCAGATTGGCTCAGCTCTAGCTGTTGCGGCCACTTGGGGAGTGAACCATCGGACGGAAGATCTTCCTCTCTGTCTCTCCTCCTCTCTGTATATCTGCCTTTCCAATAAAAATAAATAAATTAAAAAAAAAAAAAAAGAAAAGAATGGGTGGTCTTGTTAGCTTGTCTTGCTACAAAACAACCGGAAGTCCATAGTGGCATTGTACTAGAAACCCTACGTGTGGGCTGGAAGGATGCCGGAATGGCTGGCAGCAAGGAGGGGACACATCCCTGTCCTTTCTTTATCCTTTGTGAATTTTAAATGTTTATTTTTTATCTACTTGAAAGGCAGAGAGATAGAGATTGAGATCTTCCATTTGCTGGTTTACTCCCAACTGCCCACCATAGGCAGTGTTGGGCCAGGCCAAAGCCAGGAATCTGGAACGCCAACAAGGTCTCCCGTGTGGGTAACAGGCCCAGACACTTGAGCCGTCATCTGCTGCCTCAGGATGCGTTAGCAAGAAGCCCGACCAGAAGTGGAAAAGACAGGGAATACAGGTGGCCCAGGCGGTGACTTGACACTGTGCCACACCTCCTCCCGGTCGGCCGGGAACACTGGGTGAATTTTAAAGGCTCTGGATTCTGTTCTTCCTGTTCCCAGGGCTGTCATCAGCCCAGGCTCCAGGCATCCCACCTGTAAGCTCAGTGTGCCCTCCGCAACTGAAGATGCTGCTTACCGGCCAGGAGCAGTGTGTGGGTGTTCTTGTTATCAGGCACTTTGTCTGACCTCTCGCAAGGGTGCATTCCCAGGAACTTCACAATATTGCCCACAGCCTCTGCGGATAGAAACCCGGAAACTGTTAAGCCATGCATCTTGTCTCCCAAGTGGGCCACCACCCCTCCGTGCTCTAAATGGCTTTCAGTGAAGTAGCACTGGATATGGTCTAGCTATGGCCCAGGCCCTAAGTAGGCAAAGGGGAGGTACACATCAACAGTAGCCAAGGGCCACCCAGGATTGTCCCCAAGATTGTTACCTTCAAGTGTCTTGATGGTAGACAAGGTGAACGTTTCCTCCTTTTCAAACTCGTCCCCTACCTCATCCCAGGCTGCCTCGAAGTTCACCTTCAGGACCTTCTGGATGTGATCAACTACAGTGACTTCCAGGTCCTCTAGCTGGAGAGAGGGAGGCAGATGTTAGGTACCTCAAGATGCTACACCCCGCACACCTTGGGGCCTCTGAGCTCTTCCCTTCCAGTGAGCTGCCCAGCAGGAACCCAATAGGCTTTGAGGATGTGCTAGGCCAGGCAACACAAAAGCAGCTGGATTGGGTAATTATCTGTCCTCAAGCACTCACACCAAGTGCTGTCCCTTCCATGGAAAGCATGCCAACCTCAATTACCAGCCCTCCATCACTGAGTTGTCAGCTGTGGGGTCCTTCCTGGATTGACCTGGAGTCAGTGGCTCAATGACCCGTGACCAGGGGTGACATGGCAGTGCTCACTAAGGTCTCCCTTCCAGAGGCCAGTGAGCTTCTCAAGGGCAGCAGTCATTTCAGAGTCAGCAAATCCTGCCCCCACCCCAGCTGTGTCGTTTGGACTGAGTATATCCTGAGCTCCCATCTCAATCTCAGCTGTGACGACCATAAATTGATATAT